AATTATACTTCTGTTAATGCAATCTAAAATTGCTTTTAACCTTTTTTTTGCAGGCATGTGACACTATTGATTCATTCAATTTGTAATCAAATACTACAACACCATATTTTTCATAAGTACTGTTATCAAGCCAGGTACTCCTCATGCTGTATCTGAGCATTTAACTTTTGTTTCCTAGTGAAGAGCTTTGTCTCTGTTTAATTTTATACCATTATTTTGGGTATTTACCAAGAGTATGATTTTCAAACCAGCTGTGTTTCCATGTTACTGTCATGTCACCCAGTCTATACTTTCTAATCAGAATGATATGGATATTTTGTCAAGGGCTTTTTTGAGGAATATATTTTAATGGAATCTACAACATTCCATTAATCTACTAAGGAAGTCACCTGATTGAATAATACGATAAGGCAAGACTTGTTCTTGACAAATCTGCACTGACTTCATTTAATTACTGCATTGTTTCCAAGTTGTTTACAGACTGATTATTGTGATTTAGGCCATCAAAACAGTCTTTCACAGGCTACCCAGATGCAGAATACATATTCTCAGGAGGAATGGCTCTCTGTCATGCACACAAAGAGATACTCACTCCTTTTCTCTATTTGGAGAAAAGTTGAGTCCTTTAAAAGAAAAGGTGGGACTGGAGGAGGAATCTGAGAAAGAAGCTGTGAACTAGGGCTGAGAAAAGAATACAGTTGTGATCATTCTATACAGTTTCTGATTAAAGTTCAAACTTGCCAACTATCATAGAATCATACAATTGCAGAGTTGGAAAGGAACATAAGGATCACCCAGTCCAACCCTTCACAATATGCCAGGAAACCATTTAACTATCCTTGAGAGATGGTTGGCCAGCTTATTTTTAAAAAACTCTATAGAGGGTATAAGGATGCTCCATAGGTCATGTGTTCCACTTTTGTACAGTGCTCATCAGAGATCTTTTTCCTTATATTTAAATGAAATCTAGGTAACTACACCTTTTACCCATTATTCCTAGCCTTAGTTTCTGTGGCAATGGATAATAATTCCCAATCATCTTCCCTATGGCAGAGTTTCACATAGCTGAATATTGTACTGGTAGCATGTCTCCCCTCAGTCTTCTTTTGTTCTGACTAAACCTCCCAAGTTCCTTCAGCATGTGCTTATGGGGCTTCTTCTCAAATCCCAAAGATGATCATCCTTGTTATCTCATCTGAACCTTTCTCAATTTGGAAAAGTGGTACCAAGAACTATACAAAGTACTGCGTATGTGATCTCACCAGTGCAAAGTAGAGGAGAACAAAGACTGCATAGGTCTTTGACACAATGCTGCTTCTAAAGTACCTCTGAACTGTGTTAGCCCTTCTACTAGCTGTCTCACACTTCTGACTTATGTTTATCTTGTTAGTGACCATACCCAAGTCCTTTTCAAATGTAATGCTTCTAAGCCATCAAGCCCCCATTTTCTATATGTGCCCTATATATTTTCCTCCTTAAATATAATGCCTTACATTTCTCTCTGTTGTTTTGCACACTCTTCTAAGCTATCCAGATGAGAATGCAATCTCATTCTGTCACCAGACATCTGAATTTTGTATGGAAGATGTTCAAGTAATTGAGACAGGTGAACATCTGTTTTCAAGGGAATTCTAGTTCTGAAGTAATAGATAACAAGTCTAGTCAGAAATTTGTGTTAGGATTAATTTTCTTTCTTTCTTTCTTTCTTTCTTTCTTTCTTTCTTTCTTTCTTTCTTTCTTTCTTTCTTTCTCTCTCTCTCTCTCTCTCTCTCTCTCTCTCTCTCTTTCTCTTTTTTTGTACTGTGTAAATATAGTGTCCTTTTTTTTCTGTACAAATGTGCCTCAGTCATACATTCCATCCTGCAGGCTGAGCAGAAAGATATGAATTCTGTTTATAATCTTCTGGTAGTATTTAATATTAGATTGCAAAATCTCTTAATGCACAGGGAGAAAATACTCATTTGTAGGAGACCATCTTGTGGTCTGCTGGAACATTGTACCTTATTTTGTAATTTTCAGAACTTTTATATTTTATGTTTTCTTCTTTTTAAATAAGTTTGATTCTGTTTATTCGTGCTGGAATCGGCCTGTCTTCCAAGAATTGGAAGGAAGGGCTGACACCTGCAGTCACATATGATATTACTATGAGCCCAGGAAGTAGCATTTTTGAAATTATTTCAGTTGTTTACCTTTTAGTCTTTTAATCATCAGAAAGGCAGCACAGGTTGTGAAAGCCCTCTCTATCCCATATGCTGGGTTAGGGGAAGGTTGCCAGATGTGGCACTACCCAGAAGACAACTGGTAGCAACAGAAACTCCAAGCAGTTACCCCAAAGCGGGAGATAGTGACCCGATGGGAAGACCTGGACGGTTTCTGGGAGAGTTGAGATCTCTGGCCTATGATCCTATGGGGTTAGCCAATTCTGCTACGTTGCTCCTTTCATGATCTGCTCTAGAATTGTTACAGGTATTAATGTCCTACATATTGGTCTGTAGTTCCTTGGGTCTTCCTTTTCTAAAGACAACGACAACTTTTGCCCATCTCCAGTCATCTGATATTTCACAAGTTCACCAAGATTTCTTAAAATTATACATCCATATTAAGCCAAACCATATTTTCCCTTCCCCCTGTGTTCTGGGTAGTCCAATCTTTTTCAGAAATGTAGCCCTTCCATATATATATATATATATATATATATATGTATAGTATGTATGTATGTATGAATGATTTTTGTTTTTGTCTCCGTTATTTTGTCAACTGACTGGTATTGCTTTTATTCCTTTGTTGTCCATCACAGGAACATTCATGCTGAAGATGTGGGATAGGTTGAGCCATCCTTCCTAACTTGGGTGCCTTCCAGTTAGGATTTCAGCTCCCTGAACTCCCTAGTCTGCATGGTCATGGCTGAAATTCTTTTTTTAAAGTAATTTTTATTGAAGATTATATAAAACTAATACAAAAATCAAATACAAAAATAGATTTTTTAAAAAAGGACAGTGCAAAGGAAAAGAAAAAATCCCCCCACCCAAAGAAGTAATAAGAAGAAACTTCCCCTTTCATCCCTAGCAAGTATATTCAACTTTAACAACTTATCACTGTCTCCTAAAATACTACTAAATACATCTTCATTCCATACTTCACCCCATTTTCTATAAACCCATCTCTAAATCCTCAACTCTCCTTATTAATCAACAAAAGGTGTAAAGATTAATAGAAATAACTAGCAACATAAGCATTTAGTCCCCCTTTCCATTTAAACATAATCCCCCAATCCCTCTCTTAATAATCAAAAACTCATCCCAATTGACAGTTAAACATTACAAAAACCCATAATTAAACATTACAAAAAAATTAAACCCATTAATAAAACTATTAAGCATTGCCAAGAATAATAATCCCTTATTCGTATACAAAAATAATAACATAGCTATTATAAACTAATCCATTACATCCAATTGGACATTCAAAAAAAGAATTATCCAGTTAAAGTAACCATTAAGCACCACGAAAATAACAAACCATTACTTAACCATAATCAAATGATTTAAAATATTTTTCTTCTTCTTCTCATCAATCCTTGAATCCCATAAAGTTCTAACATCTGTCTTCTTCTATTATTCTTGTCTCTTCTCCCAAAATCCTTGAAATCCATATGCATTTTCAATTCAGCCACTCCTATAGGTCTCTTATATTCCCATTTAAATGGGTAATCCACACCCCTCTTTTGGTATATTATTTGTGTATCTTTTTTAATGTACAAATGATCGTCCTATTCCATTTATAAATCCAATATTTCCATCTCTTTCTTATAAGTTATAATTTTTAAGTCCACCTTAAAATCCATTTCAGTTATTTTTCAAAGAACTTGGCTCTCTTCAGTAGCAACTTTTGGGTCCAGTATTGGGTTAAATATTCCTAGGATTTCTTGAGCCAATTTAAAAAAATGTTTCCTTTAAGATGGCCATCTAGTGCTCTCTAGTGATTAACCTTCAAGGCTTTGTTACCAGGTCAAAAAGTAAACATAAAGTTCTTTCCCACACAAGAGGATCTTTTTAATTAACTTCCAACTCTTTCGTTAAATCTATTTCATCCAAATCCTTAGTGTTTAAAAACTTTCCAAAGAACAACACTATATTTCCCCTTTTGTTATATATTACAAAAAATAAAGGTCTTACAAAGCTGGAAACATGTGATTTTCTTTCTTTTTAAATGTATTGAAGAGCACTCACCCAGTGAATGTCCAACTTGCAGCTCTGAAGGTTTTTCAATCATAATGAAACAGTAAGAAAAAAAATTAAACTCCAAGGTGATTAAAAAGATGAAGTTTGGGTGAACTTTGAGTCCTTAAAAAGGCTACATTAACAGTTCAGAGCATGATGAAACCCATGACTCCCAGCTGATTGTAAGTGGCTGCAAAAACAGCAGTTTCTGCTGCTGACTCACCAAAAAATGAAAATGAATGAATGAATGAAAAAAAACCAGCTGTCCGGAATGCATGAGGGTAATCTCAAGATCTCTCTTTTATCCAGAGAAAATTATGGGCAGTCTGGATCCCACATCCAGCTGCCTTTTGACTGCTATGTCCCTGCAAGCTGCAGGTGTCAGTTCCCCAGCCTCACCAGAAACAGACCATCATGGCTGAAATTCTGGGAATTCAAATTCTTACATCTTAAAGGAAAACAGGTTGGGGAAGGAAGTTTTAAGCGTTCATAAGTAGGTGATAGTTTTCCCTTGTGTAGCCCTTTACTGTATTATTTTCATTAGAAGTGAATAAGAAGGTGCAATTAAAAACTAGCTGATGATGGCTCTGATGATTAAAATCAGGCCAATCTGTTTTGTCCATCACCTCATCAGCACCACCCTATCCCCCAACATGGGTTTAAATCATGACCAATGGAAAGAGAATCAGTGCTTATTCTGAATGAGTAAAATGTCTTTTTTTCCCCTTTCCACAGCTCTTATAAATTCTGTATCCTGCAAAAACATCAGAGTCACTCATTATGGCAACTGCAGTCATGCAGATGGAAACTCACATCCAGAAACATCACTCCACTGGGGGTTCTGGCTCCAGCTCAGTGCAGCATATGACTGAGGAAACCAACATCTCGGAAGGCAAGTAGTAGGA